CGAAGTTCTTTTCAGAAAGTGATCGGATTTCGGTGAAAAAAACCCTGTCGGCTTTGAACCCGTCTTCCAAGGGCGAAATTTTATTGGCTATGCAGACCTGCATACAAAGCATAAGCTTAGGGTTGTTTTCTTTAAGCAACATTGATCAGATTTTGTGAAAGGTCAGCTATTGTATAACTTATTTATAATACAAACTTCCGCGTTTCAGTTACGTAAAGAAGTTATCAAACGTCTGTATCATTATCAAATTCTCCATGAACCAGCTAATGCTTTGTAGCACACAACAAATAGTACTTAAATATATATATATGCCTCAAACTTCTCTCAAATTTATAATTCATAGGAATTTATAGAATCCAAAACATCTCAAAATTCCCCGCCTAAACTAGGAAGAGAACACAATATTAGCAGGTGGAGGGCTCAGCATTAAAAAGGAGAATTTAGGGAGGGGTGTCGGAGGATACTTTGAAGTATAACATCTGTTGTGTGAAATCAAACCGCGACGCAATTGACTGAATTGAAACGGTGGGCAGAGCCCCCCCCCCCCCCCCCCCCCCCCAAAAAAAAAAAAAAAAAAAAAACTTCCACAACGCCCCGCTTCCTGCGCTCAGGACTGCCGATGTTGACAAAATTGGGTTTCTGTCTACCCCTATGTATAACACAATTGTCAATCTATTCAAATTATAGAGTCAATATTAAATGGGCTGCACTGTTTGAGTTGAAATCTATCCAACTGAATCTGATCTGATAAAATCTGATACTCCGTTCATCTCGATTTCTAACCTTCTTTATGTGGTCCCAAAGCAAGTGGTTATTGTCGTGACAATAGCGTACGTCAGGTACGCCAGGTATGTCAGTGGTCCTCTTTGTGACGTTAAAGAATGACACACCCGGTAGTCCTATTATAGCCCTATTTCTATGTCGACACAGTAGAAGAGAAAAGTGACAGTTAAAGGTACACTGTCATTCATTCTCGTTATACAGGTTTATTCATTCTTTTTTTTTTTTTTTTAAATTATTAAAAGTAAGCAAGTGGAAGAATTGTTTGTCAAAGTAGGCCTATAACTTAACTAACATCATTCTAGCAAATTTAAAATAAATAAAAAATAGATTTATCAGTTCTAGCGGACTAAATTTTAGCTGACTAGATTTTAAACTTTCGTTACTGTCGCTCACTCACTCACAGCGCCATCTCACATTCTCCTATCGATCCTGTTTATTTTTACTATAGTAGAAATAGTAGAAAATCTGCAACTTGTCAGGAAGCGAGCATGATGTCTAACGTTTCAGAAAATATCTTGAATGTTTCTTATAAATAAGTCAATAAATACTTTCGCGGTGTCGTCGGGTTTTTAAAAATGTGAAAAAAACTTTGTTACATCTGTTGGCGCAAATAATTATTTTTAGTCGTTTGGTGTTTTCTTGTAATATTTTTTCCACTTAAAATCCTCAATCCAGTTACATCCATTATAAGCACGACGTCTATATGATGCCAGGGCACAGTCAAAAGTTTTACACGAAACACGGCAAAACTGCATTATCACAGAAATTTAAGTAATTTGCACAGCCTTCGTTACCAGGCGAAAAAACATGCTTGAGGTTGAGGACAAAACGTGCCTTTAAAATAAACGTGCATCTTGTAATACCCCTTTAGCGCAGTCTAGTTTTTGTTAGTATTAATAACGTGCAAATACTGTCCAAAGAGGTTGTTATTTTTAAAACTTTCGTTACTAAAATACCTGTAGATGGAATCCTTCGTTACTGATACGAAAATTCCTCATACCAACAAGGCATGAATTAAAAAATTTTCAATGATTTACGCAAAAAGCCAGATTTATCACTTTCTGTCACCAGAGATATAGAAAAGGTAGAATTCACGAATTCGAATAGGCACTATACCTGTAACTTCCATCCCCCCCTTTTTTTTTCAAATGGACCTATAAATTGTGAATGAATGTGTATCAGTTGTAAATTAAATTCCCCAAACTCATCCTTTCTTTAATTTTGTCTACATACAATGTATAAATTAATAGGCCTATACTATCTGACCACAGATTGCGCTGCAAAATGTTGAATGGCTCAAAGCGTAATTTTGTACTGTTTTAGGAGCCCCTGATATCAGACGGCACAATGTATAGGTCCATAGGCTAAATATATCCTGCAAAGCATCTTTCCCAATTCATACCTCTAAAACTTTAAAACTCCTCGCACCTGATGTCTATAGTTGTACCACCAGCGTAGGCGCTGGCGGTACCCATGGTTTTAGTCCCGACCCGTATGTTCCGCCGGCTCCTGCGGCTCCGCCGGCTCCAAGTCACCGTTACCGCTTCTCCTCCTAGACGGTAAGGGCCNTTTTTTTTTTTTAATTATTAAAAGTAAGCAAGTGGAAGAATTGTTTGTCAAAGTAGGCCTATAACTTAACTAACATCATTCTAGCAAATTTAAAATAAATAAAAAATAGATTTATCGGTTCTAGCGGACTAAATTTTAGCTGACTAGATTTTAAACTTTCGTTACTGTCGCTCACTCACTCACAGCGCCATCTCACATTCTCCTATCGATCCTGTTTATTTTTACTATAGTAGAAATAGTAGAAAATCTGCAACTTGTCAGGAAGCGAGCATGATGTCTAACGTTTCAGAAAAGATCTTGAATGTTTCTTATAAATAAGTCAATAAATACTTTCGCGGTGTCGTCGGGTTTTTAAAAATGTGAAAAAAACTTTGTTACATCTGTTGGCGCAAATAATTATTTTTAGTCGTTTGGTGTTTTTGTAATATTTTTTCCACTTAAAATCCTCAATCTAGTTACATCCATTATAAGCACGACTATAAGATGCCAGGTCACAGTCAAAAGTTTTACACGAAACACGGCAAAACTGCATTATCACAGAAATTTAAGTAATTTGCACAGCCTTCGTTACCAGGCGAAAAAACATACTTGAGGTTGAGGACAAAACGTGCCTTTAAAATAAACGTGCATCTTGTAATACCCCTTTAGCGCAGTCTAGTTTTTGTTAGTATTAATAACGTGCAAATACTGTCCAAAGGGGTTGTTATTTTTAAAACTTTCGTTACTAAAATACCTGTAGATGGAATCCTTCGTTACTGATACGAAAATTCCTCATACCAACAAGGCATGAATTAAAAAATTTTCAATGATTTACGCAAAAAGCCAGATTTATCACTTTCTGTCACCAGAGATTTAGAAAAGGTAGAATTCACGAATTCGAATAGGCACTATACCTGTAACTTCATCCCCCCCTTTTTTTTCAAATGGACTATAAATTGTGAATGAGTGTGTATCAGTTATAAATTAAATTTCCCAAACTCATCCTTTCTTAAATTTTGTCTACATACAATGTATAAATTAATAGGCTTACTTTCTGACCACAGATTGCGCTACAAAATGTAGAATGGCTCAAAGCGTAATTTTGTACTGTTTTAGGAGCCCCTGATATCAGACGGCACAATGTAAAGGCCCATAGGCTAAATATATCCTGCAGAGTTGGCATCTTTCCCAATTCAAACCTCTAAAATTTTTAAACTCCTCGCAGGCTACCTGATGTCTATAGTTTCTTCTGAATACGGGAAGGCATTGCCTGACTGGTCATTAATTTTGAACTAAAACTTTAGATTAAAAATTGGAATAAAACATGGGATCCAAGTGCAGGGACGGGTCGAACAATGATTCGAACAGTCGAACATGATTAAATCCTGTGCACTCCCCCCCCCCCACCAAAAGTCTTGGAGCACGTTCAAATTCGTGTGAGAATGTAAGAGCATGTTTGTCTGTGCTGAGCGAGGGAGGCGAAGCCAATGTCTTTATTCTTTCTACATGCAGTCATTAAACTCATTTTGATAATGATTTTAAATAAATTAAAAGTGAACCAAGGGAGTCGCTAGCGACCATGAAAGTATCAGATGTCTGGTATGTATTGGTGTGCAAATACCACGCATGCTAGTACAAAATGTAGCAAGCAGTTCCACAGAGTTGTGACTGACAATGTTACTCAAAAACGGACACAGAGAAGCAGCGAGCTCATCTACTGCATCGGATAACCGAAACTGTGGTAGTTTCCAAAACTGAATTCAAACACTTACAAAAAAATTCAAAGTGTTATTAAAAAGCAGATTTAGAACATTTTGTTATTGTGTAGGCTTTGCAGTTACTTTAATATTTAATCGAAACATTTTATGCAGTGTAGGCTCTAGCTTTACATGTCGAATTCTAAGGAAGCTATCGAAAACGAGACCAAGCTCTCAGGGGACGTGAATGATTGTTATTATTGACTTTTTTGTTCTGTTGATCATTGTTGGGTGTGCCGAAGTCTTTGTCGGTGTGTTGTAGATCTAAAGAAGAGCTTCAAACCAAATGAAGCACAAAGTAAGTTGATGCTGTCTCAAATAAGGCAGATTTAGTTGTAGAACTGCAGTCCTACCCGCGGGAGATACAGTAAATCCGTTTGAAAATAATTTTGCCAAGAAAATTGATAAAACCTGTTACGCAAGAATCTAGCATAGATCTATGCTTGAAACACCGAATATTTCTATGCTTAACAATTATATTAGAAAACTGGTCGCGCTTTGACGCCATATAAATACTCGAGAAAAATTATCGAGTGACAGAAAGGCTGGGCTCAAGGTGGAAAAGGACTGTCTGGTCTCTAGAGCTGCTGTCGCTGGTTTGTGCAAATTTTATTTTGACTTGCTGAAGTAAAACAAATCTTTTAAATATAACTCAAGCATTAACTGTTACAAAAGACTGTTATCTTAGAAAAATACTGACAACTTTTTCTATTCTTGTACAGTATATGCAAAATTGATCTTGATAAGCAATAAGCAACATGCTTTCTTCAAAGAGTAAAATTATTATAATTATTAAGTCTAGTTTAATTGTTATGTAAAGTGCATATACAGTATATGGATTTAACATTTGACTTGTAAATTTTGTTTAATTGACATTTGGTTCGTTTTTATTCAGGTAATCTGAAAATATAAGTGCAATGGGAAAAAGTAAAACGCGGGCTGTTTGAATAATGGCACCTTTCCAAAGACAGGTACAAGGAGTGGTACTCCTTATATTTCTCTTCTCGAGGCCTTATTTAATAGAATCACAGACCTACAGGGATTTCCCAAAGCTTTTTAATGCTGCACAGTTCAAGCCAATCTCAACCACACCATCAGGTTCAACATGTGGAATACCTTCTCGCAGTGCCTATTGTAAAAGTTCTGTATATGAGAGCTCATTGAGCCGTTGTTTTCAAGACTTATGTGAACAGGATTGTCCTCGGAGAACTTCTCTGCCTTCTTATAGTAACCTTCTTCTGGCTTCCAATTTTGGAGATTGTGTTCATCGGGACACTGTGAATGTGCGTCCAGGGAACTCCAGCGAGGATTTTTCTTCTGTATTCAACAATGGGCCCCGCTGCTACCTGACTCCTCTGCAGACTTCGGAGCTGGGTACTGAGGATGGAGTTCGTATGTTCACGTTAGCCGTGTGGATATGGCAGGAGACGGGGAATGAAGGGTAGGTTTTTTTGTACATCATAATTGTTCAGTTTAAGCAAAAGGTAAAAAGAAGGAGAAACTTATCACTGCTTTGACTTCATTTGTAGGCTGTTGAATAGAATATGATGCATGCTGGATGAATTTGAGATTTACAATATTACCCCGCCTTAGAGCAAAAAATATGTATTTTTTCTTAAAATTGGAAATTGAGTTATATTGCAAAATTTATTCAATAAAAGGCCTTCTGTCTATTAGACTTTATACTACTTTATTTAGAAGTCCTCTTTTTGCTAAAGGTCTTCATCTTGATCTCTTGATCCTTATCTGCTGGTAGGTCAGAGTTTAGATTGGTTCACTTTTATAGATAGAGCTAAATGGTATCTGTGCTGATGCTGATATTCTCCCTTTGTTTTATAACTGTTTTAAAAACAAAGCAGTAGTTATATAGTTAAGTCAAATTTATTACCCCACCTTACAGGCATGACTTTTCATTAAGTAAGTAGATTATGTAACAATTTATTGCAGTGACTCACTATATTAGAACAAAATTGATTTTCTTAAGTAATGTTTCATTCAGAACTCCTGAAAAGATGATAAGAAAGGTTGAAAAAAGGGTGGGAGAGATTTTGGAACTTAACAAAAATATTTTAAAAAGTAAAAAGAAAGAAATTAAAATTTGTATCTACAAATGAGTGAGTGAGGTACTTGAAAATTGTGAGCAGCTACTACTGTTGTGTTTGAATGAAACTAAGTCCTCAATGATAAAAGATAAGGAGTCCAAATGTTATCTTGGTGACATTCTGAACAACCCTTTTCAGTGCATATTATTGGTCTTCTTATAAAAAGAAATGGTATCTGCATGTACACAGAAGATTTTATTGAATTTTGATAGTACAGTTTGTAGAAGTGTGGTTAGACTTATTGTTCAAGTGTTTACAACAAGTGTTAGCATCCAACAGCAGCTGGAGTCTGAGGGAAAACTGAGTTTCCACATGACTATAATAGGGCTGCATTCACAACCAGTTGATTAGGGGACTAACTAGTCTGTGGATCAAATATGGTGTGACCCACATGAAACTAAAGAAAGCATGCCAAGATTAAATTGCTCTGCCCCTGCTGGAATGGCCAGCTTGGGAGGTGGGAATTCATTGTCAGGTCACCATGTGTGCCATATAAGATCTTCCAACAAGCTAGTCTGCATATCAGCTGGTTGCGAATGCAGCCTTAAATGATCAGGATGAAGTCTTGCTCCAGTTTAATGTGTATTTTAGTTTTGTTGTTTGAAGTTCATAATTTGACGTGGTCCTTAAACGTATCAGCCAACTGGTCACTTGGATCAGCTTGCCTCAGAAATCTACTAGTCTAAATTATTTTATGGAAAAATGATTTTAAACAGCCATTTGGATTAGATTGTGTGATTGGGCTAATTTTATTTAAAAATCATCTGCTGTTGGATAAGGCTTTAGACTGATTCTAGATATTGAAAAGGCTTGAAATTCTTTGTATAAGCTGTCCTTATTTTACAATAAATAACACTTTTATCTGCATTTTTTTTTCCTTTTGGAGATAAATGGTTAGGGGGGTCCATACTATGCATATTATTTTACAAGTAATATTGATAACTTTTCTAGATGAAGTCTACAGATACGTATAGTACAGGCCTACAGAAAATATTTTACAATAAATTGTAATATTATCAATTTTTAAATACATGACCACAGTGGAAGAGTATTCTTTGACATCATTGTTTTAATTTATCTTTTCAGGACAATTTATCAGAAAGTGGGTGACAATTCAAAAACAATTCTTCAAGTGCGTGTTAGCAGCTCCAACATCCACATCTATTACAGTACCAGCAGTGGATTTTACCATCTCAAGTCCCTGGATTCTATACCAGCAGAGACCTGGACTCACCTGGGAATACAGGTAAGTTTAACTTGGCATCATAGTAATGTTCAAGAAACATACATATCTAAAATTTTGATACCACCTATTTATATTTTGAGGGCATACTTTTTTTTACCTCTCTGGTAACCCAAATTCTCATTGTATTGAGTACATGGTAAAACATTATTAACATACAAAAATTAACTGGCTTTTGAATTTGTTTCAAATGAAGAATAAGAGGTTGGCTTAGGTCTACTCTATAAAATTGTGATTTGATTACCAGTAAGGGCATCTAGATATTTTAACACTATGAGAACCAAAATGAAAAAAAAAAAGTACGTATATGGATAGTTTTATCCTTGGTGAATAGCTGATTATTATGGAATGGAAAATAGAATCTCTGATAGGTAGTCAGAGTTAAAAGTAAAAGGGCTTATTTCAATATATTGGAGTGTGTATACAGTAAATAACAGACAGACTCAGAGGACACCAACAAGAAAGTCAAAATTGATTTTTCAATCAATATTTGAATTACCCTCTCACCACTGCGTGATGCATGGCCCATGTCTTGGAAAAGAATTAATTACAGCACCAGCCATTCTACCTTGATTAATCTCAATTATTCATAAGCTAATCTTATGATTGCTATAAGCTATCTATGGGGGCTTTAAAGTGTAGGGTGTGGTATTCTCTGATATCAAAATAGAGAAGAAATAAATATCCATAATAAATATGACATGATGATATGATATGATACAATACAATACCAATATAATATAATATATAAAATTTAAATTGCCATTATTTATGTGACATATACTGTACTAACAGCAGAGATATATATGAAAGGAGTGATGTTATATAAGGAGGGGTTATATATATCCTATAAACATCTCTGCTGTTATTGCTGTATATATGTAGTGACTGTCATGAGAGTAAACGATTTTTCATGATACATGATAGTAACTGAAAAATGTATCCTTAAAGTTAGAATCATTGTTAGTATTTTAAAAAATATTTAAATATAAACTATGTAGCTGCATAATAAATAGGTTTTCTATTTTGGTCATGTATTTCATACTAAACTTATCACCACTATGTTTTAAATATTTACCATTATTTTGTATTGAAGGGGTGGATAGGTCACACTTTTTGTGTCGTGAAACTCAACAAATGCACCCACGCTCGGCTGTCACCTTGATTGGATAGTAAACGGTTGTCGTAAAAATGCTAAATGATATTAAAACTGAGTGCATAAACTTGAAAACCACCTAGGACAACCTTAGACTGCCACATTAATCCAACACAATGCAAAAATAAACTATAACAAGTGGTTAAAGCCTTCAAACCGAATGTCGTAAAGTCCCCATATACCTCCATAGAGACAATAAAATAGAGTCAGCTTGTGAAACAAAAATAAACCAACTTAAACATAATAATCGAAATAAAATACTGCCGGGCATCGGAGCGGCCTAAAACTTGGCACGCTTACCGCAAATACTGCAGGCTACATCATCCCGTCGCTCGTTTGTAAATTCCGTGCATGGCATACGCACAATCAAACCGTATATCCAAATTGCACCTCTGATGTTTAAATTGGTCCTCTCTACAATCCAATTCAGGAAATGACGTAACCGCAGAGGTCGCATTGTCCAATGGCATGGCTTCTTTTTCGTAATTGTAGGTTAGAGAGGACCAATTTATTACTATCCAATCAAGGTGACAGCCGAGCGTGAATGCACCTGTTAAGTCTGATCACCATGATCAGCTAATACACATGGTCTTGCCAATTATCAAGATATGATATGGTTTGATATTAAAGGTACATATGTACTGAGTTTTTTTTTGCTTCAAGTATCGACCAAATGTCCCCACATAGTTTAAAATAGTATAACTGAGAGAAATATCAAAATATGTAGTTTCATATAACCCGAAAAATGATTTTTCTGCTTGCAATCTGTGCTGTATATAAATGGGGTAAATAAGTAGGTCAGATAAGTAAAGTTTACAACCAGAAATTTAAAGAAGGTGCAGTTTAAAGCAGCTTAAAGTGATTAATTTGGTTTATCCCTTGGCTTGTCAACTTTATTTGAGTTGTATAAGAAACTAATAGAAGTGTTTTATACAGATGTGTTACTGGGAATCCATGCTGTTTGGTTCATATGTAACTTTAAGGTTCATATGTACCTTTAACTTGTTATGTGTAATTTTATGGGTAATGCCCTAGTCTGTGTATTTCATACACCAAAGATTGTATGATTCATGATTCTGTTGGATCAACTATATTGATTGAACTACTGTGCATACATGCCCATGCATCACTTTGTTGCAGTACAGAAACAAATCAATAATTACCTTTGTACGTTGAGTGTTATTGTGCCATTGGGTCATGATTATTGGCAAGTTCTCTGCAAGCTGCAGTTATATTAAGATTAGGTATTTTTTTCTTTGTATTTTATCTTGCCCCCAAATTATGCCCTTTTGCCCCATGGATGATGCCTTCTATCTGGTCAACTTTAATGCCACACTGACAGAGTTTCCTTTTTAGTTTGTCACAAGTTTTAATTTTATTATATATGTATATATCTGGATTTAAAGAAGAGCAAATACCAGGATGTGTCTACAAACACACAAACACGATCACACACACAAAATGAAAATAGCATCATCCGTTTTCATATAGGATATACAGTATAGTTAACACCAAAAGAAGAAAACCCCCTCAACATTGACACCTGTCCATATTTCAGGTCTATGGTACTGCTCTTAGTGTCTTCCTGAATGGTCTGGGTGTGGGTTTTGCTGCCAGTGATACCTACACGTTAGCAGGACAGATCCATAATGGGACAGCCACAGAAGTCAGAGTGGGACAAGCTGTGAATGGTGAGGACTTTTATTCTGTTTGATATTTTTCTTGGGTAACTTTTGTCTCGGTAAAAAATCAAAGTAAGGGACATGTTTGTGTTATGATAACTAATATGAAGTCATTTCAAATTACTAATAACTTCATTTTTGTCTTATTTTCTTACTTGAACTTGACCAATGTTGATCATAAAATATATTTTCAAACAAGTAATTTATTAATTTTCTAAATGAGTATATATTAACAGAAAACATAAAAAATGTTGAGTGATATTTGTGTTGGTGTGATATTAGGTGGCTTTGTCTGTAAAGTTTAATAGCAGGTGATTCCTGACAAGTATTCACACAAAAACCTTTCCCAATCTCTCTCCCTCTCTGCTATCTTTCTTTCTCCCCCCCTCTCTCTCTCTTTCTCTCTCTCTCTGTTGGTCAGGGTAGCAAATGTATTCATATCACCTTTTTTTTAAATATTACAGGTTCAGACCAATTTCTAGGCCGTCTCCAAGGATTCAGGTTTTACCCCGTCACTCTCACTAACAGAGAAATAGAGGAGGTTTCCAGTGGCGTGTTACCTTCTGTTCATCTCCAGACTGCCTGTCGGTGTCCCCCCTCACACCCTCGGGTCAAGCCTTTCAGGAGCAGGTTCTGCATAAAGAATGGGGTTCCAGACAACACAATAAACCAAGTTCTCAGGCTGAACAATTATTCACACCCCTTGGAGTTTCTCAATGATGGTGACGGTAACAGCATCTGGGTGTCATCTTTCTTAGATGATGTGACCATCACAATAGACCTTCAAGATGAATTTCAGGTATATAGTGGTCTTGATGTGGGAAAGATTGCCTGTAAAATAAAGTTGACAGTACATCAGCTAGTTAGACCAAAAAATTGTTGAAATTTTAAAACGTGAACAGGTTGGTTTGGTTAAAAGTAAAAGCTTTTCTTTTTGACTGATTTAGACACAATTTATACTAGATTTTTTGCTTTTACACTTGTTTTTATTTCAACAAATAATGTTTTTTATGTAGCATATATATATATGTTTATGTATGTGTGTGTCTCAGGCCAGATTGAAAGCCAGTCACATTTAAATTGGCCTATCCTGGGCCACAACACAGTTTTTCAGGATTTCTACATAGTGATATGANATATATATATATATATATATATATATGTTTATGTATGTGTGTGTCTCAGGCCAGATTGAAAGCCAGTCACATTTAGATTGGCCTATCCTGGGCCACAACACAGTCTTTCAGGATTTCTACATAGTGATATGATTATTCTTTCAGGTTTTCTATGTAGTTCTCCAGTTCTACAGTCCCCTGCCCACCACTGTCACCATAGAGCGTAAGAGAGCAGGGAGCCCTGTGTGGGAGAGATGGCAGCTGTATGCCAGTGACTGTAATGCAGTGTTTAGTCTGGACAACAATGGCCCTCTGCCCAGTCCTACCTCTGTCAACTGTCTGCAGTTTGGCTCGTGAGTAATGCAATTTTACAGGGGCAGATCCAAAGATATTGTCTGACAGTCTTCCAAATTGTCTTTGTTGATCCATCCCTCCGACAGAAAAAAATTAGATACCCATCAATGTCAACTTGAAAATCTGACCGTCTTCTAAAAGACCCTGAAGACGGCCTCAATCTGCCCCTGCTTTTATTATCCTATTCGTCAGAAGATTATAATATTTTTTGATATCCTAGCCAACCGCTTTCTTTATTTATTACTTGTAAGTTTGGGAAATAAATCACATTTGGCAATAGTCAACTTGTGTTCCCTGATTGCAATTTTCATCAGGCTTCTGCCTTGACCAGCTGTTCACAGTATGGCTGATAAAATGTGTTGAGTCCAGGGTATACGTCGCTCCAATCCACTCATTGTGTGTACTTGGAAGTTATCTAACAAGATTCAGAGTGTAGAAGAAGCTTGACTCTGTATTACTGTCGTTTTCAGTTACAACTTTGACAGGGAGTGTATAAAGATACAGGGTAGATGAGTCACTGCCAGTTAACCAGTCTTGTTCAATTGTCTTAATTAATTGTCTTAATTAATTGTCTACATGCATGAAAGACCTACAAACACAAATTGACACACACACACACACACACACACGCAGGCACACATGCACACACACACACACACTGCCACATCTGATGTCTGTTATGATTGTTGTCACACAGACTTCATATTTGAATCTTGCTATCCCCAGGAGCAGCCTCCCATTGCCTTTATCCAAGGGGAATGTCACATTCAATCTGCTGGCCCCCGAACCTGTCCCCAGACCAGGACATAATGACTTCTACAACACACCAGACTTGTACCAGTTTGTCAAGGCGTCACAAGTGAGAGTCAGACTCCAGGGCCACTTTAATGTGACACAGAGCAGGCACCGCTACTATGGACTGCAGGAGTATATAGTCACTGCCAGGTAAGGCTGTGTGATTTTTTAAAAAGGTTCTATATTAGGTTCAAAATTTTAATTAAGAAAAAAAATATGATAATAACAAACAAACAGAAAAGATTGGAAATAGTGTTGTAGTGATAGAGTGAGATCAGTATTTCAGACGCATGTACCATTTACCTCTGGAATAACATATACAGTGTACTTGTGCAACTTGAATTCTAGATGTGATATGCCTTTATATACCAAATATGAATATATAAGTGCTACATATTATATATTTTACAATACCTGAATCTTCCCCCTGATATTCCTGATATTGAACTGTTATTAATCTTGCTGTATTATTTCAGATGCCAGTGCCATGGTCATGCTGAGGACTGTGATACCTCCACCAGCCCTTATAGATGTAACTGTTTACTGGACAGCCACACAGAGGGCAATAAGGTAACACTGCTTAGACTTATACTATTATTATTGTTGTTGTTAGTATAGTATATACAAAGGGCAATTTTTTACACATTTTTACTTTAAATTTAATTTAATTTTGATAGTAATGACCAATTCCAAAACTATTTTTCTCCGTGTGAGTAGTGCAGTTCATGGTTTGTAAAAAAAGACCACTTAGGAAACGCATAATTTCTTCCCCTGTGGCCATAAAAAGAAACATTGATTTTCATTTTCGTATCCATGTCCATGTTCTTTTTCAGTGTGAGCGGTGCCAGCCCCTGTATAATGACAAGGCCTTCACAGTGGGGGATCAGCTCAACCCTTACAACTGTAAACCATGTCAATGTTACAACCATGCTTCATCCTGTGTGTATAACAGGACCCTGGACCCCTACCCTGAGGAGCACAACAGGGGAGGAGGGGGAATGTGCATCAACTGCCAACACAACACCAGAGGACAGCACTGTGATCGCTGTATTGTGGAGTTCTATAGACCATTGGGTAGGGCTCTCATTATTTCTTACAATCTTAAATCAGTATTTTTTTTAGACTTAGTTTTTTCCATTAAAACTGTGATGAATGGTATTTACTGTTTATAAGTACATTTCAAAGGTTTAAACATGTAAGTGTAGTTAAATTTGAAAAAAAAAAGATGATTAATGATAAATTATTTGGACTTTGGATGATAAGACATGATTTTTGTTCATCTACTGTAATAGGCCAATGATTAAAACTTGGTCTCCCCCAATTAGAGATTTTTATTCACCATTTAGTTTACTTAGCTTACACTTTTGGTTTTCATAATCAACTTGTTAAAATTTATTATTGCCTTTATAAAATCAAATATCCCAAGCATGGGATTGGAAACTTTTAAAATTGAAAAGACATTCTTTATTCTTAACAGCAATTTATGTTTTATTCCAGGTAAAAGTTTGTTTGATGTAGATGTGTGTTCTCCTTGTGGCTGCTATGCTGGGGGAGTTCTCAATGGGAACATGGACTGTGAGAAGGTACACACACAGATTCTAGACATTAAAAAGCATAGTGTATAGATAAATAAAACAGTTCAGTGTATGTAGAGTAAGGATTTCCTATCCTAATAAAACTATTCATAGCATTTAAAGTAAGGACTTTTTTCCTCATCAAGAACAGTGTCAGTGATGCCTCAACTTTTATTGAACTCATTCCAGGAGGGAGGGCAGTGCTACTGTAAAGACTATGTAGGTGGCAGGCAGTGTAGTGAGTGCAAGGCAGGGTACTTCAATCTCCAGCCCAGCAGTGACGTAGGCTGTGAGGCATGTAACTGTCACACTGATGGTACTGTGGGTGGAAGCATTAGTTGCCATGCCACCACAGGGCAGTGTAACTGCAAGGCTAATGTTAGAAGTAAGTTATGATTGTGACTTAATTATTACAAAAGTTTGTTTTTTTCTTCATTGCTTCAATATTTCAATGTCTGTCAAATACCTCTTCTTCAGGAGCTAAGTAATTGAGTTTAGAAAGAATTTAGTAAAAGAGTGCCGCTTGTTTTTGATTTGATCACTTGATTGTATTAGGTTTTTATACAAGTTTATCTTTAAATGCTTGTTTTGCTTCAGTTTTTTTTTCAATGGGTTATTTTGCAAATTAATTCATATTGTCTAGAAAATATACAAATATTATTTTAAAAATTAAGCAATGCACTGATATGATTTTGAAAATGGATATTGGTTAAGTTACATGCATATTATTAAAAAAAGGTTACTCAAAAATAAATATAATTCATAAATATTCCCTCTCTTTTTAGACTTGAAATGTGATGCCTGTAACTTTGGCTTCTTCAACCTGACTTCTACAAACCCTGATGGCTGCAGCCCATGCAACTGTGACCCCCTGGGCTCCAATGACCAGTACTGTGACCCCACCACTGGCCAGTGCAGGTGCAAGGACAATGTGGTGGGAAAACAGTGTGACCGCTGTAGTGACGGCTATTACGACTTTGAGGGAGGCTGCAAGCCTTGTGGGTGTGACGTCCAGGGAACGGTGCCCAATACCATGTGTGACAAGGTCACTGGTCAGTGTGTGTGCAAGGCCAATGTGGAAGGGCGCAGCTGTGACCAGTGTAAAGAAGGGTTCTTTGACTTTGGAAGAGATGTATCTGTGGGCTGCTCCAGTTGTGACTGTAATCTTGCTGGCACTCTGAACAGCTCCAGCTTGTGTGACAAGGCCAGTGGCAACTGTGAGTGTAAGAGCAATGTTCAGGGCAGGACTTGTAACCAGTGTCGTGGAAACACGTGGAACCTGAACCTGACCAATCCTGATGGGTGTGAGTCATGTGATTGTGATGTCACGGGCACACAGGAAGGCAATGAGAAACCGCCCAATGAACTGACATGTGACCAAAACTCGGGGCAGTGCACCTGTCTGTCACAGCGGAGGGGGAGAAGGTGTGAGGAATGTGAATCTGGTAATGAAACCCTTTCTTATTTACTGAACAAGAGAAAAATTACACATGATCAGTGTGCAAGATGTTTTTTTATTTGGAGCAAATTTTAAAAATATAGAATCAAAAAATGGTTATAAATAGTGCATATGCCATTGTCCATTAATAAAAAGATTGTATTTTACATCATATTAAGAATTTTCTTTTTTTCATTATACAGTTATTTTTTCCTAATTAATCAATTTGTCTTAAAGTTTTTAGGTAGAAGTAATGTGACCAAATCTCTTAATGAGATAAGTTAATCTTTTTCATGTTTTTTCGAAAATATATGACATTTCTAATGCCTCGGTATTATCAAATGAAACAAATTACCACATGGGTGGTCGGTACAAGAACAACATGCTTTGTGTTCAATGTCTTCAACTGCATATAACTCTGTTACAGTTCAAGGACAATAATATTCCTCTGTATCTTGTGTCCTAGGTTGGTACATCAACAACGTCCCTGGTGGTGGCTGCCTGAACTGTGACTGTCATCGGCAAGGTGCTATCACTGGAACTGTGTGTAATTCTGTCACTGGGCAGTGCCAGTGTAAAGCACAGGGGTCAGGGGTCACAGGAAGGAGGTGTGACACCTGTCAAGACAAGTACTATAATTTTGACCCTGGAAGAGGAGAGTAAGTTTATTGTTGGGTTGATTTATTGGTTAAACAGACTGCCACATTTTAATTTTTTTTTCGTTTTGGTATTGCCAGGTGAAGTACATCACCACTTATAAAAACTAAATGCACTGAGTTAGATAAAGTAATGTATTTCATTAATTTGAGTCTTCTTCTTTTATTCAATCTCAATAGCATCTAATATTCTGATAGTCTGTTACTAATGTTTTGTCCCATGCTAAAAACAAGCATAAAAAGCCAATCAGTAACATTGAACAACATCCATTGTCCCCCCCTGCCCCTCCCCCCCCCCAAAAAAAAAATGTTTTATGAGTTAATGTTGATTTTAAAAAATTTAAAGTTAAGTGAGGTGTTTAAAAAATTAAGTAACAACTGTAAAAGTTGAATTCAATAGTAACACATTCTGTGATAATTTCAGATGTGAGCCATGTCGCTGTAACCCAGCTGGTAGTTTGAATGACACATGTCATGCTATGACAGGGCAGTGTGAATGTAAGGAGTTTGTCACCTCCCTCAAGTGTGACCAGTGTAAGCCAGACTCCAGTGTACTAGAGGCCGAAAACCCTTATGGCTGCAGTAAAAGTAAGTAACCTCAGAAGACTGTGTGTGTGTGTTTGTGTGTGTGTGTGTGTGTGTGTGTGTGTGTGTGTGTGTGTGTGTGTGTGTGTGTGTGTGTGTGTGTGTGTGTGTGTGTGTGTGTGTGTGTGTGTGTGTGTGTGTGTGTGTGTGTGTGTGTGTGTGTGTGTG